TGATTAGGTTCTAGTTCAGTATTTCAGTACCCTGTTACATTGTGCGATTGGATTCCAACGAATGCCCTTTTGACCTTGGTTTAAATCCTTTCAAGGGTGGTTAATTCTTTGGCGTGTGTATGTGTGTGTTTGTGTATGTGTGTGTATGTAGGCCTAAGTGTGTATGTTGTGAAAAAATCTTATCTTAAAATCTATTCCTGAGTCTCGTGTCATATATGTTTTCCTGTTGTTAAATTTTTTAATGCTTATCTACATTTGGTTCACCTGAATTATACGGAGGAAGGAGTCAGACAATAGAGGGGGTGGGGAAGAGGGGGGGGGGGGGGTATTGTACAATAAGAACCGAATTTTGGCCTTTATTTGTTTTTTTGCTAGGTTTAATAGTGGTATATCTCCAGGATAATATAACTTTATTAAAATCAATAGTAATGAAAGTAAACATATTAATATTGTATCGGTGTAAGAAGCATCGCTTTAAATATTGGTGTTAGTGTTGTATGTTTTAATCTTTAATACAAACGCACTTATTGATGAATGCAATCAAGTAAATACTAATGCATATAGTGATACATCTGTCATATATATATATATATATATATATATATATATATATATATATATATATATATATATATATATATATATATATATATATATATATATATATATATATATATATATATATATATATATATATATCCAAACCTATTTGAAATTAAAACAAGTACATTGCTACTGAAAAAACCCAAATTTATACACTGTGTACGTTAATTTAAATTGAAAATATTTAACAAAGAAAAATGTAAACAAAGGTACCTGGCCATGCGAACAATCTTGAGCATCATATACACCAAGCTTAATGTGCAGTTAGGTGGGTCTGTCAACTGAAACTAAGATAAGGCACGGGTCAGTTTCAACACAAATATGTCAGTGAAATTTTAAAACCTGAAATTTAACACGTTCGTGATACGATCATACGAAGTTCTTCATTCTTTGCTCTTTTCGCGGTTATGTTGAAAATTTAAAATTTTAGGTTACGTGTTGAATTATGCTAATAATATTATATTACATCACCAACGCGCTTTCTTTAAAAACATAATGTAATTTACAAAATTAAAATGAAAAATGTTTACCTGCAATAGCTGCTACAGTGTTTGTTTACCTTTTTGACTTCGATTACAATTTTCTGTGAAAATAGTCTCCCTTCTAAAATATTATTATCTCCCTTCTCGTCCTGCTTTAAAAAGAACATAAGTCTGCTTTAACTCTACACCGCTATGGCTTACGTTTATATCCGCTGTTCAAACCGTGTCTTACGTTGTTACCAGGAATTCCCGCACAAAACGTCAAACTGTGTTCAGCTAAAGTAGTGACTGTGGGTTTTCCCGATACATGATTATAGTTTTATTTAAAGTAATTTGCTCAGCGGCTAGATCCACACAGCGTTTATGAATACTTTGCTAATGAAATAATATTGTGTTTTAAAATTTGAATGATTTAACCAATAAATGAATATGATAGCAGACTTGAGAACACGTGACACCAAAATCACACGCACCTCTGTGCTAAAGGCGGATCATTTTTTAAAGCATCGGCTAACATTTGATGTAGTGATATTTTTACAAGCTTTTATTTAACTCACTTCCTCTGTCGTCGGTCTGTCGTCAGTCTAGACGGAAACGCAGGAGTGAAAATTCGGAAACTTCTACTTGACCGACACGATTCACAGTTGGCACGTGGGTCAAGACATGAAGACAATGCAATCTGAAACTAAATTTGACTTAATTGGATGCCTAATTAATTTTTTATGGATTAATTAAAATTTGGACCGAATTAGTAGGCATGTCTAGCCAACCACACCACACGCGTCATCACCTTCATTCAATAGCTGTGCCATCACGTAATGGCTGCGTTCAAAAACCATTGCGCGCCTACTGAACGTGATGATCAGTAGGCGCGCAAAGGTTTTTAGTCATTTAACTCTATTGTAAATAAAACATGTAAAGTACTGAAAAAAAATTCATAAAAAACGTTTTAATAACAAGCTTTTATGTAACGATGCACTAAAAAGTAGAAAATAAATTATAGACTACTATTTAAATAACTATAAAGAAAAGCGTGGGTGTCTTCCTTAACATTAGTAAAGGTATCCAATAGATACTAAAGTGACCCACGCTTTTCTTTATAGTTATTTAAATAGTAGTCTATAATTTATTTTCTACTTTTTAGTGCATCGTTACATAAAAGCTTGTTATTAAAACGTTTTTTATGAATTTTTTTTTTTAAAACACACAACTGGAACTAATTTATCACATTTTAAAGCAAACCACATGAACTCATAAGTGACACTTTTAAGAATACTGTCTGAGCTTAAAGTCAGTAACAGTGATGTCACAATATAACATTTTAAAAATACTTTAAAAAAAATTAATATTAGATCTATAATCTATATATATAATTCTCTTCTTGGATACGCTAGAAAACACCAAGCTGTAAGCGCGCCTAGCAACTCCCTCGCTTCCTCTCTAGGCATATCCCTACCACCCCCACCCCCACATGGTCTGGTGAGCTGTGGTTCACGCTAAATGTTTACAATCGTTAGAACTTGTTAAAACTTTTATTTTTACACATGACACTTGGCCGATAAAAATTTCTTAGCGTTTTAACACTAACAGAGATTTAAAATAAAGTTTACACGAGCTTTTTGCCTTGAATAAAAATTTTGAACTGTGGAGCCGACACAGGGTATTGAACGTACCGGTTACACTTGCCAAATATATGTCACTAGCAAAAATAACTTTCTTTTGTTGCATATAGGATTCGACTATGTCTGATCTTAAGTGTTCATTTTAAAGCACACTTGTAGTGTTATTTTAGTTTTTTCAATAAATGAGGCTCAGTTACTTACCTAATCTCCACACTAATTCTCGTGACACTTGTGCACAACACTCACCCTCGCCCAAGTAACACACTTAAATCTCATCCGTAAACCCTCATCCCCGCACCCCTTCACCACAGTTGTGTTACGTCCCTTGCTTAAGTCCGTTTAATTTTAGCTCAGGTTTTTTCCTGCATGAGTATCACACACTTACAAAGCATCAGCACGTCTAGATGCAGGTAAGTTCAATATAAACATCACACACAATACACTAGCACATCTGTCTGTGGTTTTCTACACCTGTATGCAGGTTCCTTCAGTATCAACATCACACACTTACAACACACTAGCACACCTGTATGTATGCATGTTCCTTCAATATAAACATCACACACATACAACACACTAGCACGTCTAGATGCAGGTTCCTTCAGTATCAAATCACTCACTTACAACACACTAGCACATCTGTTGCATGGTCCTTCAATATAAACATCACACACATACAACACACTAGCACGTCTAGATGCAGGTTCCTTCAGTATCAAATCACTCACTTACAACACACTAGCACATCTGTTGCATGGTCCTTCAATATAAACATCACACACTTACAACACACTAGCACATCTTTATGCGGTTTTCTTCAATGATCTGTCAAACGATATGAACTGTTTTCACTCGTATGCTATAACATGTGCAAACTCAACACTAATCCCTTTCAAACGTTGATAATGATATTATGTGGGAGAGTTAGTTTTTAAGGTAGCAAAAGATAAGCGCACTTAGTTGGTTTAGCGAAGGGTGCAGTTGAACAAGTTTATATCGAGTTGCTGTTACATTATTTAATTTATATTAAAAACTTTTTATTAAAATACTTTTTTTTTCGGGTAGATTTCAAATTATAAAACCCATGCATCAAAACAAAACAAAAATTGTGCTTTTTTTCAATACAACTAGATATAGCTATTTTTAGAAACCGAATTGTCCATAATAGTTTTTTTAGAAACTATGCTACATCATATTCTAACAATGTTATCGGATTTTCTCAAAATGTTTTTTTGATTTTTTTAAAGTATCCTTTTGTGTTATTTTTATACAAGTTAAAATAGTTTGTTGCATCTTCTTATAAGAAAGGACTCTGGGGTTTTGTGACAATTTAAAAAAAAACAGATGTGAGATAAGAGCTTACGTGCACTGGGTAAATGTAACACTGAGTTCGACTAAATTGGAAAAATAAAATCAGCCTTCTTTCATGTTTTTTACTACCCTAGTACTCAACGAATTTCTTTTAAAATAGAATAGCCAAGGGATTGCACACATAGTGTATAACAAAAAAAAAAAAAAAAACCGAAATCAACAACACTAGGAAAGGTTAGACCCACCAATTCATCTTTTTATAACATTTCTACAAACCACAACTGTTTTAACATATAAAAAATATAGAGTGCAGCTAGGCCCTAGGTTCACTTAAAAATTCAGGGGGAAGACGCTGGTTAAAGAAGCCTATTATATATATATGTATATGTATGTATATATATATATATATATATATATATATATATATATATATATATATATATATATATATATATATATATATATATATATATATACATATTTTTTTTTTCGTCCGGAGGGATGTAGTCGTGCTCCTGAGGTTACAGTATGTCTGAAAGAAACTCTTGAGCACGAATTATTAAACACGACAGACAGAAAAAATAATGCTCGAGAAAAAGAATTAACTCAAAACACATTTTTTCCATAGGTTTGGACAAACATTTTCCGATGCATCTTCCTGCAAACCATAGATCTATATTTTAGCCTTTGCTTAATTTAAAAAAAAATTGGGTTTGATATAAACCTCAGTTTGAAGTCATGATGTAGATCTAGGCCTATTTTATTTTACTATTTAGCTATCATTAAGATTTAAGGGAGTCTGAAATGTGCTAAAGTTTTGCGTTATATAATGAAAAATATTGCATTTGAAAATGTATAGTTTATCATTGTGGCTTCTGTACTACATCGCGTTTTCCTAATAGTATTTACATTTATCAAGACACTGCACAATACTTTTCTTAACGGAACAGCTTCGAGGAAATGACATCATCTCTAAGGAGCGCTTCCTTTTATGGCACTAATTTCCGGGTTTTAATCCTTTGGTTATCTTAGTAACTTTACCAACTCTAGATATTGACTTTCTTCTTTTCGATTTACTTTTAAATAATTTGAAGCTTGGTTGCTGTAATATAAGAGCTGGTAAGTTCTGAAATAAGTACACGAGTAATATTGCATACTACTGCTATGGTCCATAGCCTATGGATCTAGAATCTAGAATTTCTAGATCTACTCAAAAAATCTACTGAAAACTGAAAAAAGACTGAAGATTCAAGATCGACTAGAATTCTAGATCTAAAAAATCTAGCTAGAGACTAGAAATCTAGGTCCTAGTTCAAGCACACGACAAATTGACCAATTCACATTCAGATTAAAAAAATAAAACAACTGACTAGCTCTAGTAGCTGGGATGAGCAGTTTGTGAGCTCTGCCAACCATCCAACCACTGTCCCCCCTAAAATAATCATAATAATGTCTAAATTTTAGGATGATTTTAGATAATAGATACTGATAGCAATAGTTTAAAAAGCATTTAAACTGCTGATTTACCTATCACCTTGGCTAATATTTCGGGTGTGGGGAAATTGCGAGACGCGAAAAGCGAAATGGCGAGGCGGGAAAATGCGAGAAGGGCGCGAAAACGGTCGGTCACGTGACTTTTTTGTCTCGCATTTTACCACAAGCCGATACTTAGGCTGGGTGGTGTTGAAATGCGAAGATTTCTGCGAAAAATTTACCGCACCCGATTTTCAGTGGTATTTGGTCCAGACTTCAAAGACGTTTCGTTTACATTGTTAAAACTTCCGATTTTTCCGTCGCTAGACATACTGATGATTTGTCAACTCCCCCCATCTTTTGTGTCGACTTAGAATACCACCTTGTTCGAAACTGACGGAAATACCGCCGACGATAGATCAACTTCTGTCTTTTGTGTGGAACGCCGAGGCCGCCTGATTTACCGTCTTTGAAGATCGCCGTCCCCGGATCCGCTGCCACCGCAAACATATTTTCTATTGTTGCATAGAAATTTTGTATTATAGCCGCCGCCTACGATTTTTTCCTAGCTTTTTTTACCATATAAATCTAAGCACAAGCTTTTGTATCACGGTTGTGACTTTTCCGAATTTTCCCATAAATGTTATATTATTATTTATTAATTAATTGTAAATATATATATATATATATATATATATATATATATATATATATATATATATATATATATATATATAATTTATTATTTCCATAAATAAGTCAGAAAAATAACATCAAATTAAGTATGCGATTACTGCCCTATGTGAAGGTGAGGACTAGATTAACCCTCCCTTATGTGTTGCTTATTCCTAAGCTTTTATGAACTCTCAATGCCCCCAGTTTTTTTTCTCTTACTTACTGTTTGGGGAAAAAATAAAGTGACGTCACCGATATTATCAGTTGCTCGTGCTACATCGTAAGCTATGGGCCTACTTCAAATATTTTTAAAACCAAGTTGAACTTATCTGAATTTTTTGGTTTTGGTGGTGGTGTTATTTTGGGTCTTCCATAAATGACTTTTTGCAAGTACAAAAATCCATAAATAGATGTTGCAAAATATCTCTCCTGCTGACAAGATTATACCAATTCACGATGACACAGCTCACGTTTGTATAAACATGAGCGGGCTAGATTTTTAAATTAATGCCGACTGAGACGGGATTTTCCTCTCGCTAACAAGAGCGGGCGATGGCAGTAGCACAGCAACGATGTTAGGATTTTTAAATAGATAGATCTAGATATAGATATATCTATCTTCTTAGTATCTAGATAAAAAAATAACAACATACAACACTCGTGTTAAAGGGTATGGCTAAATGCTCGTTTACTTTAAAACAAAACAAAAAAATAATTTAAATAAATAAAGATGGAAAAAAAAGAAAAAAACTTTTTTCGCAAAAAGTGTCTCGCTATTTACCCTTGATTCCGCAGGTATGTCTCGCATTACCTTCTCGCATTTTCCCGTCTCGCCATTTCGCTTTTCGCGTCTCGCAATTTCCCCACACCCTAATATTTCTTTGGTATGGAGCCTATAAGATAGCAAACTAATTACAAGTAGTTTTTTTTACAGAATTAAATAATGGCCTACCAAAATGCTGATCGAGACTACAATGCTATGAGAATGCAAAAAGGACCCCCTGGAGCTGGTCCCAAACCTTATACACAAGCTCCTCAGCCATACAGACCAGGTAAATGTTTATTAATGGATTAATTAAATTATCACTTGTTTTCATTTTTAACATTGATTTTAATGTTTAATAATTTTTAATTCTGATTTCAGTTGCACCAGGCTATCGCGCTGTTAACATTGAGCATTATTCTAATGAGCAAGTGGTTTACCCACCTCCACCTCCCATCGAAAAAAACTATGGCTATGGCCAAGATGATGACTTTCCACCCCCACCTCCTCCTGCTCCCCCACAAGCCTACGCTGAGGATGAAAGCCACACCTACAGTAATGTCTACAGTGGGGAGGCTCGTTATATGAGAGCAGAGGACTACAGACCTCAAGATTACAACTCACCCAGAACAACCAGTAAAACTTCTTCTGGTACAAAAGGTGGGAACAATTTTTCTTGAAAATGTTCTCAAGTTTGTTCAAATATGTGCAGCTTTTTTTGCTGAATCAATGTATATACATTGAGTAGAAATATTGTCTTTTTTTTGGGGGGGGGGGGGAGTAAGAAGTGCCATTGTCTTATTTATCAAGGCTGAAAAAAACAACAACTAAAAACTAGTACAAGTAAAGCAAACTGGTTTTGCAAGTTTTGTGAACAATTCAGTTTCCCCAGAATATTCAATTTGATATGTTAGACCTTAATTAAATTAGTATTGTAGTGTTAGCTTGTATGTCATTGTATGTAGACACATAATTAGTAATTTATTTTTTATTTTTGTCAATTTTGTAAAGAATATACCATTTGACTAAATACCAAATTTACTTTGCACGTGTAGTCACTTCCTATGCTGGATCTACAAGTTACCCCCCTGAATCAAACTACGCCAACATACAAATAAACATTGCTCCGCCAACTCCTACCAACAAAGACTTTGGCTACAGTGATGTTAAATATGAACAAATATGTAAGTATTTATGTTGTCAACTTTTTACCACAAACCTGAAAAAATAAATATTTCTTGCTTGATACACATACAAATTGTATTTTCTTCTACAGCTTCACGGAGCACTAGTTCTTCTGATACTTACAGAGTTGGGGGTGGACAGGTTGCCAGGTCTATGGTGGGCGAGAGACCTGTACCTGGTCCTATGGTACCACCTGGAGGCCAGGTAAGTTTTTATTTTTGTGTGTGGTGGCCTAATTTATAGACATTATTCATGGTGATAAAACGTAAGGAAAAAATAGTTTTAGAATAGTAGCTGAAAGCAAATGCAACTGTCTTCACTTTCCTCAAGTCATGTTTACATCTTATCAGTGCAGGTGTAGTGACAAAGGCAAGTTGAAATCTTAATGTTGTCTGAATTTGAACTTGAAATGCTTAGCGTAATTAAATTTTAAATATGCATGCAACAGTTTAAAATTAAGTCCAGATAAATTAAACTTATTAAAGTATATCAGATCAAATATTTTTTCATGTTTTTTCCAGAGTGCTTCACCAGGACCACAAGCACAAAATAAACTAGAGAAAGAGGCAGAGGTTGATGCTTTGACTGACCTACTAATGAAGAACATGACCTCTATTGCTGAAGACAAAGATTATTGGGGTGAGTGTGCAGACTATATTCTCGTAAATTAAATAAAAGTCAAGATTTGAGAAATACCTTCAACCAATTACTTTTATATATTTTTTCTAATCAGGAATGTGTGGTCGCTGTGGTAATTCAGTTTCAGGCAGTACAAATGCTTGTTCCGCATTGGACAATGTGTACCATATTGGGTGTTTTACTTGCATTGGTTGCAGTGAGTACATATTTATTCAAGCTATACAATTCCACATGTAACAGTAGAATAGTTGCTAGGTTGCCACCTTTGTAGCTAATTTTTAACAAATGTTGTGTTAGTGTTTCTGTCATGTCTATAAAATAAACCTACTTATACACACATATATATATATATGAAACAAATGTTTGTGTGGTTGTTGTACTTATACAATATACCTTTTTTTAAAAAAAAAATAGATGCACCACTTCAAGGAAAATCTTTTTTTGCCATGGAAACTAAACCTTATTGCGAAGGATGTTACATTGTAAGTAAAAGTGTTTTAAGATTGTATATCTATTAAATATTTTTTTGGTTGTCCTTTTAAAAATTGTTATTATTAGTTAATCTTAAAAAATTAGAAAATTCAATATCAGTTATCGATTAAATATTTAGCAGTAAATGTGTACTTGTTTGTTTAGAATATGATTTGTATATCCTTTGTTTCTGTGACAGAATACACTAGAGAGATGTTCTGTGTGTTCCAAACCAATCACAGACAGAGTGAGTATATTCATTATTTTCTTTTAATTTTTGTGTATGCTCTTTAATGCACTTATATGTTTCAGTTATAATTTTCTAATTGGCCGGAATGTCAAACATCTTTTGGTTACATGACATTGATTTACAAAAAAAAATGTTTTTAATATACTCCAGTACAAAACCTTCATGTATACATTCTCATATGCATTAAAGTTTTGACTAATTTGTCATGTTTGTTCTGTGGTGTTCTGCATTAGCTTCTAAGAGCGACAGGCAAGCCATACCACCCTGACTGCTTCACTTGTGTCGTCTGTGGAAAGTCTCTGGATGGAATCCCCTTCACGGTTGACGCTACTAACCAGATCCACTGCATTGAGGATTTCCACAAGTAATTGTTGCCCTCCTAACTGTAGACCCTTTACGGGCCTTCTCACTCCCCCAAAATTATGCACAATGTAATTAGTGCAATTAAATCTAACGAGCCGGCCCGCGGCATAACATACGCCGCTATTTAGTTGTTTTTTCTACTTTTCGGTAATTCATAATTTGTGAATTCGACAGTACCAACGCTGCCACTGAAAATATTTCTTTAAAACACTATAAGTAGCTCGTTAAGGACCATAACCCCCCCCCCTCTTCCTCCCCCCCCTCCCCCCCACGTTTAAAATCGTTGGCTCCGCTTGTAAACATTTAGAGTGAACACAGCTCACTAAAACCATGTAGGGGTGGGGAGGTAGGGAGCGCGTTTACAGCTTGTTTTCTAGGCGCGTTTGCAGCTTGTTTTCTAGCGGCTCCCAGAAGAGAACTATATATATAGATTAATATACCTCTGCCATTGAATGAGGCTTTATTTATAATGTAACTATTGAAAAAGAAAGTAGCTCCAGTGATCAGTGGAAATTTTTTTTAGCATTTAAAATAAACTTAAAGAAGTGGTGTTTTGTTAAAGTTTTTCTAGAATTACTGTTATTTATTATTAGTAAACTATTATGCTATTTAACCACATACATAATAAACTTAGACCTATTTTGTGTTCACTGCTTTTTTTTTTAACAAGTGGTAATTTAAAAAAAAAAAAAAGTGCCATTGTTGAAAAATACCTCGTAAAGTGTTAATATATTCCATGTGTCAGTTACTCAAACATGAAGAGGCCAGACCATTCTTTTAATCATCCTCCCAATAATATTTTTCTCACAATATTTTATCACCTTTTTTTTTGTTATTGTTAAAATAAAAATTCTTATTCACTTTGTTGAAAAGGATTAGAAGTTTGCAATTTGAATTTCTAATCGACTGAACTAATTGAATATTATCATTTAAAGACCTTAGTTAAATCCTGAAAGTAAAACTAGTACATAAGATTTGTATTGTTACTTGTGTTACAGGAAATTTGCTCCTCGTTGCTGTGTTTGCCAGCGTCCAATAATGCCAGATGCTGGCCAGGATGAGACAGTCAGGATAGTGGCCATGGATAAATCTTTCCATGTTGGTTGCTACAGATGTGAGGTAATGTTGGCTGAAATAATTTAACTTTACATTGTAGATAGGAGGCTGGAGTGTAGAGATACCAGCAAAAAACTTTCACGGCTTTTGTAAATCACATTTAAATTTTTTTTAGATGTATCTGATAAACAACTTTCCTTGCTGTCAACTACTTTTGTGTAATTTCTTAGTCTGTTTAATCTTATATGTCCTATATTTAAATATGTCATAGTACTAAAATAATCTGCCTTTTTCTTAGGTATAATTGAGGATAACATTTGTTGTTTTACCAGGACTGATATTTGGTTGATTTTTAAATACTCTACTATTTTATTCATTGTCACTAACTATTTTTGCTCAATTTCAGGACTGTAATTGCCAACTAAAAATTTGTTGTTTCTTCAACTAGGACTAATATTTGGTTGATTTTTTTAAAAATCTACTATTTTATTCATTACCACGAACTATTTTTGCACAATTTCAGGACTGTAATTCAACTAGGACTAATATTTGGTTGATTTTTTTGCTTAATTTCAGGACTGTAATTGCCAACTAAAATTTTGTTGTTTCTTAAACTAGGACTAATATTTGGTTGATTTTTTGCTTAATTTCAGGACTGTAATTGCCAACTAAGCTCAGAAGCTGAGGGACGTGGATGCTATCCATTAGATGACCACATCCTCTGTAAGAACTGCAACGCCAAGAGAATCCAAGCACTAACCACTAAAATGGCTACAGAGCTGTAGAAGCTAACTAATTACAAGTTTTAGGGAATGTTGCTTGTTTTTCAGCTGGTAAAGAAATCTGTATTAAATTTATTAGCAGTATTTTAAAAACTTACAGGCTTTTTGAAATCGAAGTTTAAACAACGAAGGACTGCATACTCAGGGTGGAGATAAGTAGGAAAGGTCTGGTGTTTTTGATTAATGAAGTTGGATTTTTTTTTTCATGAATTAAGTTTTTTGTAAGGAATAACCTGTAAACCTTTAATTTTGAGCCTGTTTTTTTTTTTTTAATGGGAATTTCTGTAGTTCATTTGTTTTTTACATTCTTTATGTCATCTGTTTAGTCATTTGATATAGCTTTAGAGTAACACTATTGCTAAATCTCTGTTTAAATATCTCTATGAACTTATTTTGTATTCATTACTTGCCAGTGTTCATGATGCTATAGGCTGTAGTTCAAATCTTGTGTATTACAAATTAGCTTGACACAAACACGTATTTATTCTTGCTGGTGATACATTGCTTTGGTTCATTGTGGGTAGGTGTTATCACTCATTTCATGTTATTCGGCCACTAGTTTAAAACTATTTTGGCTAAGATTTAAATAGATTATTTTTTTAGCCATTTACATTCTATTCTCACTTTAACCGGTCATTAATTTGTGAGTCTTGTCTGTCACTATTTGGAAAAGTCAGAGGAGTATTTAATAAATTATTAGGCATATCTTTCTAGAACCTGTTTATAGTAAGTCTTGCAGCCGTGATCTCTTCTGATTCTTTAAATTATATACATTCTGTCATTTTGCAATTTTAAAAAATTCTGTAGTAGAATATAAAGAATCTCATGTGTTCACCAAAGTGATATGTAAAAAGTCATATACAAGGTTCATCATTGTTTTTGTGATATGTACCATATTAGTTCAATATAAATGACTTTGCTCTGATACAGCAGTAGACACTGTCAACATATACACCATTTAACATCATGATATTATTTCTCAAAAATATTGTTACATTTTGACCAAGTATGGTGTTTCTATTTTCATGTCTTTATGTACTGTATTCACATCGGAGTGAAGTTTTCAAAGTGGAAATTGTTTATTTGTACAAAATGATGTGGTATTGTAAGCATTATAAAAAATGTAAGTTACTAGTCTTCTTAATTTTTTTGTGTCAAAAAAGCAGTTACTATTGTTTTTCATTTGCCTTAGAATTTTAAAGTGTGGCTTTGTTTCTATTGAAGAAGTGCTATTCACTTATCAGCATTGTATAAGTACTAACTTACAAGTGTATGATGTATAGAAATGTTCATTCATGTATAATTTTAAAAACCTGTAACAGCACAAAAACATCCAAATTTGTTACTGATTGTGCTTCACATTATTTTTAATATTTTTATTATTTCTGTATCAAACTAAATACATTAGTTTAATCTCACTATCATTACAATATAAAGAGACACTATGCTAACATATAAGGAAACATGCTTATTTGTACCATCTAGAATTTAATAATGGATTTATAAGGAAACATGCTTCTAGAATTTAATACTGGCTTTAGATTTGTATAAATCAGATTCATATCAGTTTAGTCTGTTTAGGCAGAATTTTTACATAATTGTCTGTGTTTGTTTTGAATTGCATTTGCTTTTATACATCTGGTTTTGACTTAGATCCATCCATTTTTTCTTCTATACTTTATTAGAACTGTATGCATAATGCTTTGTTATATTCTTACTGTTTTGTAATAGATTTAAATGGTAATTGGTTTGTTATCATGATCTTGTCATTTATTGAGTTTTGTGCCAGTAATTGTAACATTTTTATTCATGTATTTTTTCTTCTTGTCTTTTTAGAAATGTATCAGAATAATAATTTTTGTAATTGACCAAAGAAAAAAGTTCTAGTCCATTATGCCGCCGACAACACTATGATTCATCATTTACGGCACAAATTATAACTGGTTAAAAATAAATGGAAGTGATTTGATCTAATCTTTTATTCAAGTATATTAAAGGGCTAATTAACATTGCAGGCAGTTTTTATGCATATAAATATAACATTTCTTGAGCATTAATTTAAATTTTATTACTTCATATCATATCATAACCATTGCCATTTAGCCTTTGCTTGCTAAATAGTGTATGTTGTTAAAATAATGTTTTCTTGAGTATGCTAGATGTTGAAAAAAAAAGTGTTTTACAAATGTGCTTCCACTATATTGTAGCATATCTATTCAAACTCCCAACTTACATTTACAATCACAGGATGGTTTATAGTGTGATTCTTCAGTTCTTTAAACTAATCAAAGCCAAGACTTGCCTAGACTATTTTTATTGACCATTTTATTAGCCGGTGCTAAGCTCTAAAATGTAAAATAGTGCTAATCATGGTTCTACAAAAGGGTGGCTGGACAAATAATTTGATAAATGGGGACCAAATAATGGGTGTTAACATTACTATCCCATCTGTGTGTGGTATATAATTTTCAAACAAAATATTACCCATTACGTTTGTTAGTACTGCAGATATTCAAAGGTCCACCAAAATGCATTATATGTATCATATGTGTAGACAACCAACTTGCAATTACTCAAGCATAATGCAACTCTTATTCTTGCCAGTAGACCTTAAGGGTAGGGGCTGTCCAATAGTACTTTCTTCCCTTGTTTATATGAAATATGCCAACATTTTTTTTTTACAAAAACATGTTATTAATATTATACAGCCAGTGATAATTGCTAAAAAAATGTTTGTTATGCATTTAGTACTTAAAATTTGCTAGTTTCCTGAACATCCTTTTCTTTTTTTTTGCTTAAAAAAAGCTGCCTGGCCAAAATGTTTTAGTTTATTTTATCCTTGCAAATTGTAACAACTCATTCCACAAACAGTGCAATGCTTTTTTTTGTCATTTATTTATTAGTCAATTAACTTTATTATGCTTTTGCCTTTACTTCTTTAGATATCTTTACTTATATATTGCAGTTAAACTTTTGTCTTTTTTAAAGATGGCATCTTCTTAGTTGTGCTCCAAAATACTTAAAGCTCTATTTGAAATGATTTTAAAGAATCACAGATAATGAAATACATCATTTCAAAACAATTGAAATGTTTAATATTAGTTAAGCAATATTTGGAACAATGCTTTCCTTTGTTTAATATGGTAAGAAAAACATTATTTACTACCAGGTAGTTGGAATCACTGGGTATGTGCGTTGATTTAAAGTTGCATCTAGGAACCATTTTTCAAATATTATAAATAAAACTTTATCCTTCACTACTTCCCTCCCCCAATCACATAAGTCAGATTTCTCCCTTCCCTGATACCAATATTTAAAAAAAAATTAGCAGTTTCCAAAATCTAATATATTAGGTATACTTATGGCCCTAATGTGTTCAATTATATTTTAAGTTAAGAAATGGTGGTGGCCTTGGATTTCTATTTTCTATTTATTAACTGTTTAAATACTTTATATAGAATTTGAATTTTGTTTATGGTTACCTGAAGACCATTCTTTAGTTTCAACCATGGTAATCATATCATACTACTAAACGCCAACCTAGAAGATGCCAGTTACAGCTTGTTTTTATTGTCTAGTATTTTTCAGTATACTGAAATGTAATCATTGCTTAATCATATGTAATATATCTTTCAATCTGTAGCTTAAGAAGCTAACCAGTCATGTTATTTATTGTAATAAACTTGTGTAAATGGCAAACTGTTGATCTCTTGTTGAAGTTAATCATTAACAAGTAGTGCTCATTACACGTGTAGTGGTCCCATCATTCCTTTCTTCAGTGTCTCTGGTTGTTACAACTTAAGGCAAAAACTACAAAAAGAAAAAACCCAAGTGGCTATACAAATGTTTTTAGATCTCAGAAGAAAAGAAACAAAGTATTGTGCAGTGATTGTACACTTTTGGACAAGGAATCGTGATTAAGATGCGAGTACACCTCTTTAATAATTGTAGCTGCTGCAAGCACATATAGGCATTTAAATTAATCATATTCAGCACAATAATCTTACCCTATTATCACAATCAAGCATACAACAAATGACTGGCAATAAGTAATTTTATTGTGTAGATTCAAACACATTGATAGAGTATCCACCTTTTCTAGCTTTTGTCAACTGCTTTTGTACAAAATCCATTGCATCAAAGGTTTCACCAGACATCTTGATTCGTTCAAGTTCCTTGCGGTATGCCTTCATCTTTTTAGCGTTCTTGGCTCGTCTCTGTCTTGACCACACGAAGTACATCCTATGCCTTAGTTTTTTCAATTTGTGCTTCTTCATCTTTTTATGGCGAATCCTCATGATACTTATAATTTTTGCTTCTTTAGCTGGAGAGCTTCTACCTGGTTCTTCAATCATTTCAGATTTTTTAATAGTTGGAGCTTCAACAGCATCTATAATGTTATTTGCCACCGGGCAATCATAGAAAGATTTGACAGCAGAGATTTTGTCAAGGATCACTAGTTGGGTCAAATGTCCCAACAGTCTAGACGGACATCTGTACTCCTTGTCATGATCCACTGCTACTGCTTTTTGGGCTACACCCTCAGAGGGTAAAAGCTGTAGAGCTTGCTTTAGAGGCTGAACCTTCTTATTTTTTAAAACAAAAGTATTTGTAGTATAGACATTGCTTTCCTGCAAGGGGATTTTCAACAAGGCAGGATTATGACCAAACTTTGGCTCAGAGATAATGTAGGTTGAACTGCTCTGCTGGTTGGAGTAATGACATCTACTAAATCCTGAAGCAAACAAACATATTTGCCATAACACATGTCAAGATGTTTATTTAAAGATTTCTCAACAAATTAAAATCACCCACCCACATTTTGACTGATGATTGTTTTTAAGACATCATCTGTTAACTTAACAAATAGATAGAAGATACAAAATGAGCATTTATTTTAAGAGAAGCTAATGATATATGATGTTTACATTTGGAGCCGTGGGCCCTAGTTCTAATTTTAACAGGCTTGCTACATTTAGCTTCAGTATAAAACTATAATGTTTATAAAAGCCAAAGTAATTTTTAAGTTTATTTGTCAATTCAAATATTTGTCTAACAATTGTAAAAAATACTCACCAAATGATGAAACTGATACTAATGACAGATTATTAAGGACATTGTGGCAGACATATCCTGTTCGACACAGAGCCATTTTGCTGCAAAACAAGCAAGTGAAATAGTAATAGCATTATGATAGGATAAATTGATTATCAGGAATGCTAGAAGAAGTCACTAGATCTAGAATGAATAGAAGAAGACTCGACACTAGATTTCTTGATTCTAGATCTAGTCTACTGCGTAACAATAGTCTAGCTAGAGAGTAGTCTAGATTCTAGATCTACAACAAATGACATTCTCAGCTCACAATTAGTGTCAATTAGATCTAGAAATTCTAGATCTAGATCTAGTCTAGATTAAATTCTAGTAGGCCTAATATTTTAGTTTATAGTCATAGAGTTAACAGCTAATTAGATAGGTCTAGATCTAGTTTGAAAAATAAGTTTTAGACTCTACATACAGATATTTAAATGTCAGTAATGAGAAGGATGATAACAGAATTTAGCTGTGAAAGATTTAGCTTCGGCTTCGTAAGGGCGCCGCCATTTTGCCGCATAGGTCACCATACATAAAATTGTTCCCGGAAAAAGTTATGCCAAAAAAAAATTACATTGGTCGTTTTCATTGAAAAGTCAACAAATAGGCCCAAAATTATTACATAACAAAGAATCTAAAACTAACCACTTAGCGTGTAAGGTCTAACCCCTTTTATTTCACTATAGGTAGGGCAAATTAATATGCGTTCTATTATTAATTATGTAATATTTTAGAGAGATTCTTGGCCCAACCAGCTTATGACTATGAGGATGAAGTAGAATCTAGCCTACAAACAAAGTGTACTACATCTATGAGCAGAGTATAAAATTTAAAAATAAATATTCAGTATGTGTTGATCTACTGCAAATTTTAAACTAATGAATCGTAGCCAAAGGCAAAAAAAAGCAATCGAAAATGTGTTGAATTCAACTTAAGTTCAGGCCGTATTTTAAATTGATTTAATAATAGTTGTTGACTTCAGGTCTGAGTGACTAGGCCTAAAGCTAAATCTAAAAGTGATTGTCACGTGATTGTGAAATCCTAACATAGAGTCTAGATATGCCTAGTCTTTTTATAGCCTACTGTACAAAACGGGATTAGCCCGTAGTGGCGAAACGAAAGTACAGATATTTTAAACTTGGCCGTACTGGCGAAAATCCCGCTGAAATATTTTTAAGTAGTCGAACGGCTAGGATCGTTGTTTATTTTACTTAAATAATTTGCGATACCGGAATTGGATCCAACAGAAAACATAATAAATCGATTTGGTGGGAAATATCAATATCAAGTTTTTTTTGTAGAAAATAAAATAGATCTTGGCACTGATTAGTAAATTACACAATAATTAGATCTAGAAGGGGAAAAACTCCGGTAATCTATCGTTTTTGGTACGTAAAATCGCCCGCGATTTGTAATGTGAAAAACAGGTGACTCCTTAAATTTTAATAGTTATTTCACATGTTGAGGAGGATTTATGTATTAAAAAATTAAAAAATGTTTCCTTGATTCATTTATGTACATGTTTTTAAACAATTGAATTAAAACTTTTCCGTAATAAATGAAGACTAGCGATGTTTCCAACAGATGCAACCATGCTCATTTACTATAGCAGCCATCTTGTCTAAGTTTTATTTTTATAAGCTTTTAGCGCCAGATTCAGGGGGAAGCCACTCTATTTTACAAATGGCTGCTGTTTATATAGCAAATCTTGCTCTCAGACACTGCTGTTTAAAGTTAATTTCTGGTCTATATCGATATATTTAGCCATTGATTTAGGTTTATTATTCATTTATCTATAATATTTGACACAAAAGTATGACAATATACTTCTGTTAAAGCCTTGACAATGAGGTAACGTTTTCGTACATAAATAGCCGCGGGCGATTTTACGTACCCAAAACGATAGATTACCAAAACTCCATTTTTGCGTATTTTAGTCCCCGCTTCACGTTCACCTCCAGTTGAATTTAGCGTATTTTATTATTATTAGGCAATATTAGGCTTAGGCCCTAAGGCCCTAAGGCCTAAGGCCTAATAACCTAACCTAATCACTAGTAATCACCTAATCACTGATTAGTAATCAGTCCTAATCTAATGCCCTAATTAATAAATAATTAGTTTTAATTTTAATTACTAGATCTAATTACTAATTTTAATTTAGGCCTAGGTAATACTAGATCTATCTAGTATTAGTAGTAATATTATTAAATTTATAATATTATAAATTATAAATATAATAGGGCCTAGTAAAAATAGCCTAATAATTCTATTAATTTTATAAACACAACTGTCAAAACACAGAACAATACAAAAACGTTTAGTCGGTTAGTATTTAGGTAGATCTAGAATCTAGTCTAGATTTGGCTTATTTAATATTATTTATTTTATAACATTTTATTGATAACCCTTGCCTTCTTAGCTAGCATAGCAATGGTGGGGGTGCAGGCTGCACCAGATGACACCATTTAAGGGGGTGACACCAAGGCAAAAAATTGCAAAATATACAGAAGAAAAATGTTGTTTTGCCAGTGCCATTAATGATTAATTAAAGTTAAATAGTCTTTTAAGTATAAATCGACAAGTATTACAAGAGGGTTAGGGTGATATCATGACGTAAACGTGCTAACTATAGATAGAGAAAACATTGCTACATCCAAGTTCCAAATGTATTATTAACAGACTAAAGATAAACATCATTACTTGGGTGACACCCGATCTAGCAATGCCATTGGGCCTTAGACGTAAGCACTTTATTAAAATTTTTACTACTTTCAAAACTTTAATCTTCAGGTTCTCTCAACATGGAGACAGGAATAAGGCAGACACAGGGACAAAGAAACCAACAATACTTGAACACTGCAATCAACTGATTTACAACCCTCTGTATTCAAGTGGCTAGAGTACTACCATGTATGTTACTTTAACAGTTTTGTTTAGAATATGCTTACTGTAGGTCCTTTAACAGTTAATTGTTCAGATCCCTTTATGTGACTTCTGTGGGGTGGGGGACTATGCTACATTCTAAATTTTAAGTATTCCATTTAAGAGTGTAAACTAAATAAGATATTAGTATCACTTTTAAGTACCATTTATACTATAGTATAATAAAGTAAACTGATCTTGTCATTGTTTTGCAGGTGTTTTGTGCTTTTGGGTTTATGTTTACAGTACAGAATAAAACCAAGTGCTGTGATAGGTTGAAACAAACCAGGTATGATTGTAAATATGAACACATTTTTAATCTGATTTAATTAAAGTTGAAATTTATTTTACAGAATTTGGTAGGTAAACTAATTGCATTTTAACAGTAAAAAATGTAACGCTGAATGATAAATTAAAAACTATAATGTACAGCTGAACTGTTGCGATTGTATTTTGTTAATTTTTTTTATTTGTACATGTTAGGCTTCCTTTCAAGCCCATGGGACAGATGGAGAGATTATGAGTTTCTCTGACTTTGGCATAGGAAGGGATAGTGTAGCCAAGTTCAATACAATGCTCAGCCACTTTTATTTTCCCAACCAGTTACTAGAGCCCATTATTAGAACTTGAGACTATCAGGTTAGTTATCCAATGTTCTGCTACTCACATACACTGTATTATTTGTATATAGTTATCTATATATATAATTCTCTTCTTCGAGCCGTTAGAAAGCAAGCTGCAAACGCTCTCCCTACCTCCCCACCCCTACATGGTTTTAGTGAGCTGTGTTCACTCTAAATGTTTACAAGCAGAGCCAACGATTTTAAACGTAAGGGGGGGGGGGGGGTTATGGTCCTTAACGAGCTACTTATAGTGTTTTAAAGAAATATTTTCAGTGTCAGCGTTGGTACTGTCGAATTCACAAATTATGAATTATTGAAAATTAGAAACAACTAAATAGCGGCGTATGTTATGCCGCGGGCCGGCTCGTATTTTATATATCGTTTGTTTATTTATCATTGTGAATTTAAGCTTACACTCAGTTTTGCATAGTCAATATGAACTATTTTAAACTTATCAAGAATACACTAAACAAGCACCAACTGTACTGCAATGTACTTCCCAATGAGAAGTGGGGTGCAAACATTTAATTAAAAGTAAATTATGTAAGGTGATGGTGTGGCTTAGCTGCAGAGAGCAAGACTGTATAACCCAAAGTCTCAAGTTTGAATCTGGGTTCAAGTCAGCAGAACTTCTATGAGTCCACCCAGCTCTGATAGGTACCTAACTCACGTTAGGAAAAGTAAAGGCGGCTGGGCATAGTGCTGACCACACTATCCCTTCATATGCTGAGGTCACAGAAACAGGTGATCTCTACTGCACTTGCCCCATGAAAAGGGTAGACCTTTGTAGACAATCTTTATTTTAATAAAATTTCTTCAGGTTCTCTCAACATGGAGACAGGAATAAGACAGACACAGGAACAAAGATACCAACAATTTTTATAGACTAGAACACTGCAATCAACTGATTTACAACCTTCTGTATTCAAGTGGCTAGAGCACTACCATGTATGTAACTTTAACAGTTTTGTTTAGAAAATGCTTAGGTCCTTAGTTGGTCAGTTTCATTTAACTGGGAATTTTCAGGCATGTGACTTTTCTGATTTTTTTGAGGAAATCAGATTTTTCCATTTGAGCTGCAATTTAATTTTCTTCAAATTATTTTGCAGATTTTCTAATTAAATTTTAATAATTAAAAAAAAACAGAACAAGGAAACAGCCGACATGCACATTAACACAGATTAGTATTTAAATGGAGTATCTCTGTGATACATCCAGTTGCAAATAAAAGGACAGTCATTGTTGTTTTTGAGTAACATAAACTTCTTTTAATTAAAATAGCTAGGCCTATATAATTAAAATATTAATTAGTACATTAATGGCAGGAGACTGCTTTGATTGTGATAAATACATTGAATCTGATCCCAAAAAAATAGTTAAAACTATTCATTTTAAAGTGCAAACTAAATATAGATAATATCACCACCTTTGAGTGTAGTAAAATGCTATTGGTCTTGTTATTGTTTTGTGGGGTTTTATGTTTTGTAGGTTTAACATTACAGTTGAAAGTAAAACCAAGTACTATGAAATAAAATAAGTACAATGGTAAATATTGTATCATTTTTTTTGTATAGTCTTATCAGAATTTGGTAGGTAAACAAATTGTATAATAAAAGTAGAAATATTGAACACTGAGTACATGAATTAAACCACCGATTAAAAACTATTAATTGAAGTACAGCTGAACTGTTGCAATTTTATCTTGTTTTATTTTTCTATTGAAAAAAAATATGATTGCCAAAGTCCCATATTTAAATATATCAAATAAAAAGGAAAACTTTTGTGATTTATGTACTAAAATTAGAATAATCATTAGGTGCCTCTAGTGTAAACTGTCATCACAGATTGCAATTCTCCTACCAACCAGGACAATAGCAAAAAACTAGTAGAATTTCTACTCTCACAGATATTCCAGCTGTGAATAATCATCATAAAGGCATCTGTTGTGTGTATTTAGGGGGGGGGATGGGGGGGTCTCTCTTTAACATCCCTCAGTTTATTATGTATTGTATATTTTAATGGTAACTTTTTTTGTTTCACAGAAACTCCAGGCCTAAAGTTTAAGGCATCTGTAAGAGATGAACAATCAGCTTGGAAAGAATAACTGGTGTATTACTAGTTTTAAAACCTTAAATATGACTATTACATTTGTATATCTCCAAATATTGGTACTAATATAAGTAATAAATAATTAAAATCAGAATGGGTAACAAGAGACAATAGAGAGGATAGCTCAAGACTGGATAGTTGTAGTTGGTGTACCATACTGCAACAGGAGCGATGAGATTATGTTTGGGCTCTTTAATATTATATTAGAAAGTTTAGAAGGTTATTAACTTTTCTAAATATTAAGTTATTCAGAATATTTGCACTTATTTTCTTCTAGGACATATGTTTGGTTTTTATGTTGTTTTAAGCTTCCTGAATGACATGCATATTAGGGACATTTATGTCCACAGCAGTTG